AAAACAGAGAAATGGGAAGCATCAGAGAAGTCATCCAAGGAAAAAGACCAGAAGGGAAGAAGTAATGGATCACTGGTTGTGTCTGCATGATGAGGTTGTGCATGACTTTTCTCCCTCCTTTAAATTTTCCAAATTTTGTGTAAGCTGAGGTGGGCGGATCATGAGGTCAAGAGATCAAGACCATCTTGGCCAACACGGTGAAACCCTGTCTCTATTAAAAATACAAAAATGAGCTGGGCATGGTGGCGTGCACCAGTAGTCCCAGCTACTCGGGAGGCTGAGGCAGGAGAATTGCTTGAAACCGGGAGGCGGAGGTTGCAGTGAGCCGAGATCCCACCACTGCACTCCAGCCTGGCACCTGGTGGCAGAGCAAGATCTGTCTCAAAAAAAAAAGTATCTTTTGAAATGAGGGGTAATGTGTGGTTTCAGTATTACCAGCATTGCCCTAGAACATCTAACTCACAGATGGTCCTGGTTTCCATGGAGTGAATGTGTAAAAAGATGTAACCGGAACTCAGTCATTTAACCAAAGCTAGTGATACCACCAGGACCAAGTGAGACTCATTTTCCTGCCTGCAGGAAAGTGCCCTTCTAGAGGGCTGCCCTAAGCCACAGGGCTCTGTGACTATTTTATTTTTATTCTCATTTACTCTTTATTACTGAACACCCATTACTCTATGTGAATTCCACTTGGATCTTGGGTCATCAGCCCTGTCATAGAGGAATATGAACCATCCCATCCTGCAGTTCTGTTCTGAGGGCTGAGCTGTTCCTGTTGCTTTGGTATCATCTTTTAGCCCTGCATCCTAGTGTCCCTCTTCCACAAAGCTTTGAAGCTGAAAAACTTTTGGGGCTTGAAGAAGCTTTTTGGTAGCTGCTGAACTTTGGTGCTGGGGCTCTTTTTCTGCCTCTCCCCCTTGCACAGTTTGTGAGCCCACAGCCTGGGCAGGGAAAGATGTGTGCATGAGTCTGGGGGTGGGGAAGGGATGTTGCGTCTTCCTGTAGATACTGATCACTGTGGTCTTTCTTGGGAAAAATCCAGTGCAGATGTTGAAAGCCAAACTACAGAATGCATCTGTCATCTAACTCTTCCAGACATTTTGTCATTGTAGATAAAGGCTGTTTGATTAATATTTCATGGATGACATAACTATAAATCTCTTAATGGCTTATTAATTTTCAAACATTTGGATGACAGATATTATGTTTCTATTGTTTAGCCTTTTTATTACAGAAAAATTCCAACACATCACCAAATAGAATGAAAGCAATAAACCCACACGTATCCCAGCCAGCGTCAGCAGTTGCCCACTCATGACTCATCTTGTTCTGTCTCTCTCTCACCCTGCTCCCAACTCCCACCCCGTGGTTTAGTTTAACACAAATCCTGGACATCATATTATTTCATACAGAAACATTTAGTTCATATCTCTAAAACACAAGCATTCTTTAAAAAAAAAAAAAAAAAAAAAAAAGGACTACCTAATTATGTTTAAATATCCAGTTAGTGTTCAAATTTCCCCAGTTTGTCTCAGACACAGTTTGTTTCTTTTTCCAAATTGGTATCCAGATAGGATCTATACATTAATTGGCATGTTTCTTAAATATTAAAAAAACCTTTCTTTGTTCATTTATTTTTCCTTGTAATTTATTTGTTAAAGAGTCATTTGTCTTGTCTTCACTGGAAAAGAGAGAAAGTTCCAGAATATTAGGACCACTTGAAATCAACAAAATGTTCTATATTTAAACAAATAAGTGTCGGAGAGGAACTTATTCCATGTCTCTAGTTAAAAGTCACCTTCTGAGTGTGAGGCCCTCCTTGGGAGCCCTCTATACAGTTTTGCCCTCCCCAGACCCTTGGTGCTGATCTTCCATTCCTGGCTTATTTTTCCTCCTTAATGCCCAGAGCTACCTACTGTATAGTTTACTTGCTTGTCTGCCTCCCCTCTGGAATGTAAGCTCCTCGTGGTTTTGTGATTTGTTCTCTGCTGTGTCCCCATCCCTGGCTAGATGAATGAAGATGTATGAAGGCAGGGCAGAAGCAGGGAGGATGGGCGTGTGGAGGAGGGCAGGTGGCGCAAGGTGTGAGCAGCAAAGTCTTACTGTGCCCTTCGCCTTTCCGATGTGTCCTATCCGTGAGACGCAGCTCCCTTTAAAGTTCTGTGAGAAGCTCGGATGATGACTCTCTTCTGCTTGTCACTCCGTGACGGAGGTACCTCTCTGCAGATGCTGGCTTGGTCTGTTGGCCTCTTTACCCCACTGCAGGCTCGGGCCCCATCTCACAGCCACAGGCTGGTTTGACCAGTTTTATCAACAGAGACTAGGCTGGGGTCTGTCCTCTGAGAACATCACCAACAGTGTGCAAAGGTGTCCCAGTGAGTGGTGGTTGTCAGCAGTTTGTCTGGATTCAGAACACGTCGCCCAGCCTTTAGCATGGCTGGACTGTGAGCCTGCTGTGAAGCCATACGCTGGAAGGCAGCAGGAACAGCCTGCATGAGTCACTGGTGCACCATGAGCCAGATGTGGCCTTGAACAGGGCCCCCACCACACCTTAGTCTTCTCATTTATAGAATAGGGATGGTGTGCTTTCTCCTCTGCAGAGTTGCTGTGAGCCTGTTGTGCTGTCCAGTGATGCAGGGCCGTTAGGGCGGATCCTCCAGTCAGCTTGTGCAAGAGGGCAGCATTCTGGCCACGCCGGATAACTCTAAGGAGACAGAGACCCTGCCCTCCTGTGGGCCAGGGCAGGCCCAGGTTAACTGGAGGGAGGGATATGACTGGATCTGCAGGCTCCCTTGCCTGTTTTGGGCATGAGGAGAGGAGATGCTTTTGGACTGTCTTAGTTGAGTGGGTTGATGCATCTCCTTCCCACCCCTCACAGTCTCAGAGGGGCTTGCAACCCCAGCAGTGCCAGAAAAATGAAGTAAAAATTGCAATTTTTTTTTGTCAGTTACCACTCAGCTGCCTCCTAAGTGCTCTGACATTCCCTCCCCACACTCATTCATCTTCTAGTAGGAATATTTACAGTGCTGTTTAGGAGCTTCTGTGCAGTTCTGACATTGTTCCAGGGCATTGTTTTATAATAGCTTTAGTGAGGAGGTTCTTGCCACACTGACAGAGTGTGTTTCACTGGGACAACTCATGCTTCTTCCTAAAAGCGCTAGACTGGATGAGTGTGTTTTTTCCAGTAAGATGCTCGGCCTCCTGTGAAGGGAAGTGCACACCAGTGAGAAGCGTCCCAGATGGACCCACTCTGCTGTGTCATCGCTCCTTAGGGAACCACATTTGCATGTCCCTGGAGAAGAGGATTTTTACTACTGCTGGTACCAGACCAATAGATTTATATTATTTTCTGGGCTCTCTGAAGTCCACAAAGGACTCCCGTTTTTCTGTTTTGTTTTGTTTTACTTTATAGATGCATGTCATCCAAATGGTAGTCACTAGCCATATGTGGCTATTTAAGTTTAAATTCAAATTAGTAACATTAAGTAAAAATATAAACCGAGTTCCTCAGCCCTACTAGCTTTGTTTCAAGTGCTCAATAGGCATGTGGAGGTAGTGGCTCCTGTATTAGTGCAGATTACAAAACATTTCCATTGTAACAGAAAGTTCCGTTGAACAGCACTGTAAATATTAATACTCCAAGATGAATGAGTGCGGGGAGGGAATGTCAGAGCACTTAAGAGACAGCTGACTGGCAGTTGATGAAAAATTCTTGCAATTTCTACCTCATTTTCATTTCATGATAAAACACTTCTGAACTCTTAAGTGATAAAGCCAACTCTTCAGAGGAAGACTTGAGGTTCCTGGTATTGACACATTCCATTAGAAAGCTGACCCCACAGCCCTCTCAACTATTCAGTGCTTGTCATCTGTTAGCAGTCAGGGACACGGGGTGCCTTTACTTAGCCAAGGAGTGGCTCCTTCCAGCCTTGACTCCACTCTCTGCTGGAAGGTCCCCTGTGGGGAAAGGGCATGATTAGAAACTGTCATAGCAATTTATTTCTTTTGAGTTAGCAGAAAAGAAATTTTTCATCACTCTTGGTTTGCCACTTGTGATTCTACTAAAGGAAGAAAAAAGAAACCCTTGGATGAAACAGATACCTTTCTAGAATGTCTGCTGCAAGCTTTTTTGTTTTGCTTGGTGGGATCATAGCAGCAGAGCTCCTGGTGAGGGGAGCCCCGGGCAGAGATTTATGGGGCATTCACTCTCAGGTGCTGACCTTATACTCACATGGGCCAGAGAGGGAGTGTCTCCTTACGTTTTGCACCCCAGGAGCCTGGCTTGCCTCACTCTTGTCCCATCCAGGGCTGGCTGTCTTTGGGCCCCTTGACCCTTCCCTCTGGTGGGCTGGCTGCATGGTTCTAGGAATTCTGGATTTGCACATGCGTAGTCCCTTTAGCACATAGAGGCACATGCTGTGTCTAAGCCTCTGTTAGACTGAACCCTTTAGGTAGCGAGTGCATCCCTTTGCTCTTTCTACACATCGACCAGAGTAGAGGACTAGTAAGTTGCTAATGAATGAATCAGTGAATGGATCAGTCCTCTAGGGATCCACTCTGAATTAAAAGAGTGAAGAGTTCTCTTGCTGTAGATTTTCCTTTAAAAGTTCAGAGAACATCCTGCATTGTAGCCTGCAAAGCTCCACATTTCTGCACAGCTGGTTTCTGGCTGCACACGGTGAAGCAGAGAGTCCTCCCAGCAGTGTGGCAATGGACGGTGCTGTTTCCCCCACTTGCCTTTCCCTAGAATTTCTTCCCTTTTAGCATCAAGTTGGAGTTACTCTACTGGAAACCCCAGTCTCAGGAGAGGGTCTCCTCTCTTCCCTCCTTTCCCCAGCTTCCTCCAGAGTTTCTGCATGGCCTTTTCCTAGGGACACATGGCCTGGCCCGGGGTAGGCCTTGATTTGGGGAGGCACGAGGGGAAAAGAAGCAATCGCCTGAGGGTGGGAGGCCTCTTTGTGGACTCGGTGTTACATGCTTCTCCTCTCTGCCTCCCACAGAGCGTATTGAAGAAGAGGGACCAAGTTCAAGCAGAGTACGAAGCCAAACTGGAAGCTGTGGCTCTGCGGAAGGAAGACCGCCCCAAGGTCAGGGAAGCATCTGGCAAGGGCTGCAAAGCAGTCATCTCCCTGCTGGTGCTAAGCGCATTCTTGTCTCTACATCTGTGTGACTGAGAGTGGTCAGTGCCGCCTGGGCTATGTTAATGATGATATCCTCTTTTCATTTGGAATTGAGTTTCACACTGTCTCCTGGGCCTATTTTCTTTTGGTCTTAAAGACTCACTTCTCTGCCATTCATTGGCAGTTCTTGGCTCCATAAAATGGCATTGCAGAGAGAAGGAAAGAACAGCCTCAATCAGTGCTTTCAAAATGTGGTTCGTAGGCCCACAAACTGTACGATCCATGATGAACGTATGGAAGCACTTGGAAACTTCTATAGCAATTTGATGCTGCTGCATAACCGGTGGAACACGTTGTGTTGAACACCCGAGACAAGAGTGTTAAACTCACGTGAGGAGTCGCATGTGGAGTGAGCCGCATGCTAGTTACGCACGGCAGGACTACAACTTGTTCAAATTGGGGAAAACGGCCAATAAAAAGTGGCCCTTTACTCCACAGAGTTTGAGCCACACTGATCTAGCTTGTCTAGGATGCCTTCTGGCTCCAGTGTTTGTAACTGCCCAGTGGGTTCACCTTGCCCGCTGCCTAGACAGAGCTGAATTATCAAAACAGGGAAATCGTAATGGAGAAAGAGTCATTGACACAGAACCAGCTGTACAAGACACTGGAGTTTTACCATTACTCAAATCATTCTCTCTGAGCATTTGGGGATCAGAATTTTTAAAGATAATTTGGTGGGTAGGGGCTCAGGAAGTGGGGAGTGCTGATTGGTCAGGTTGGAGATAGAATCATAGTGGGTGGAAGTGAGGTTTTTTGCTGCATCTTCTGCTCCTGGGTGAGATCGCAGACCTGGTTGAGCCAGATTACTATTTGGGTAGTGACAGCTGATCCATCGAGTGCAGGGTCTACAAAAGATCTCAAGCACTGATCTTGGGTTTTACAATAGAGATGTTATCCTCAGGAGCAATTTGGGGAGGTTTAGAGTCTTCTAGCCAGAGGCTGCATGACCCCTAAACCTTAATTCCTAAGTAGCTAATTTGTTCTGCAAAAGCAGACTGGTTCCCAGGCAAGAAAGGGGTCTTTTCAGGAAAGGGCTATTATCAGTTTTGTTTTAGAGTCAAATCATAAACTGAAGTCCTTTCCAAGGCTAGTTCACCTTATGCCTAGGAATGAACAAGGACAGATTAATGGTTAGAAGCAAGTTGGAGGCTGGGTATGGTAGCTCACACCTGTAATCCCAACAGTTTGGGAGGTCGAGGTGGGTGGATCACCTGAGGTAGGAGTTCAAGACCAGCCTGGCCAACATGGTGAAACCCTGTCTCTACTAAAAATACAAAAACTTAGTTGGGTGTGGTGGTGGGCATCTGTAATCCCAGCTACTCAGGAGTCCAAGGCAGGAGAATCACTTGAACCTGGGAGGTGGAGGTTACAATGACTTGAGATCGCGCCACAACCCTCCAGCCTGGGCAACAAGAGCAAAACTCCATCTCAAAAAAAAAAAAAACAGAAAAAAAAAAGCGAGATGGAGTGGGTTAGGTCTGATCTCTTTCACTGTCATAATTCCTCAGTTATAATTTTTGCAAAGGCAGTTTTCTGTTCTGGGTCTAGATAGAGGATCACAGCTGTAAAAATGCATCTGTTGTATTGGTCAGATGCATTTTTACCCTGTTGTTGCCTTTCTCTTCCCCGAGCCGGGATTAAAAATGGATAATAATGGTCAGGAGCTTGCAGCATGCTAAGTGCGCTTGCTCTCTCTTGTGAGTTCTTTCTCTCTCTCCACACACATACACACACACACACACACACACACACAGCCCTCCATATCCATGGTTCCACATCTGCAGATTTAGCCAATTGCAGATTGAGAGTATTGGGGCGGGGTAGAACAATAAAAAACAATGATACAAAAATAGAAAATAACAAAAGGAATAAAAACTAATACAGTACAGGTTTCCTATCTCTTACCCCAAATGCTTAAAACTAGAAGTGTTTCAGATTTTGGGATATTTGTATATACAAGAGAAAGATTTTGGGAGTGGGACCAAAGTCTAGACATGAGATTTATTTATGTTTCTTATACACCTTATACACATAGCCTAAAGGTCCTTTTATATAATATTTTAAATAATTTTGTGCATGAAACAGAATTTTGACTAAAACCCATCACATGAGGTCAGGTGTAGAGGTTCCCACTTCTCTCATGTTGACACTCAAAAAGTTTCAGATCTTGAGCCAGGCACAGTGGTGTGTGTCAGTATTTCCTCTTACTCAGGAGGTTGAGGTGGGAGGATCCCTTGAGGCCAGGAGTTAGAGGCTGCAGTGTGTTATGATTGCACCTGTGAGTGGCCACTGTGCTCCAGCCTGGGCAACATCCAGAGACCCCATCTTTAAAAGAAAGGTTTTGGATTTTGAGGCAATTTGGGTTTTCAGATTGGGGATGCCCAATCTGTATAATGACGATTTACATGGTATTTATGTTGTATTAGGTATTATAAGTAATCTAGAGATGATTTAAAGTATACAGGAGACTGTATATAAGTTATATGCAAACACTACATCATTTTTTTTCCGGTCTTGAGCATTCACAAGTCGTGGAACCAATCCCCGCCCTACCCCACCAGATAGCAAGGTGACAACTGTGCCTATGTATATGTCCATGTGTGTAAAATCTCATTGATTCCACATCACAACCATGAGGTTTGGGTACCATCATTATTCCCATTTGAGAGATGAGCAAACCATGGCCCAGTATCATGCAGCTAGCCCTGGTGGACTAGGGTGGCACCCCGCAGTTTAACTTTAGAATCTTGCCACCTACCATTGTATTACTCTGCCTCTTTTTGGTTTGTAAGTGGAAGGTGTATTTGTTTTCAAAGAAGGGGGTGAGGGTGGGGAACATTGTTAAGTTAATAGCAGGGACCTCACGTATCAGGGAAATGGTTTGACATCAGAGCTGTTGGGGTTTCCCTCCTTGGTCATGGTTCCTGCTGCTGCTGCCGCCATGCCAAGACATACCTGGAAAGGAGCCAGCTTTGGAATTTGCAACCCATACCTGAGAAATGAGGTGCCTTGGCTTTGGCTAGTGTTTTTAATGTTAATTGCATCACAGGATCACTGCAGTGGTCATCGGAGGCCCAGAGGGAAGGCATTCTTCTTTCCCCATTTCATGGGTGAGGAAACGAGGCACAGAGAAGCTGGACAGATTGCCCAGCCTCTTTGATGCCAAGTGACTCTATCCTGGGCATGTTTGTTGTGTTGATTCCAGCATCACCCCTCGTGATCTATAGTAGAGCATAAAGGCTGCATATAGCTTTGCATATGGAAAGGCAGATGATGTAGGTTGGACCTGTGGTCATTGGTCCAGGGGTGTCCTAGGATGTCTTGGGCTGGAGGAGGGTGTGCTGAGGGCCGAGGGTGTGGAGGCCTCTGGAGCTGGGGAAGAGTGGTGTCCTAGAATGCAAAGGTTTGCTTTGTGGTTGGGCTGAGGCTGGAGAAAGCTTAGCAGACACTGAGGTGGTGATTCCCAGGCAGATGGAGCTTTGGACCTTGGAGACTTGGCCTTCTTCATGTTAATTGTGAGGCTGGAGAAGCGACATACACTTACTTAGTAGGGACTGGCTGCCTTCTGCTGGACCTGCTGGACCACGCCTGGTGTATACCTTAGAATCTAACCCCCCGTGGAAGGTGGGGGGCATCTCCTTATCTTATAGAAGATAAGGAGAAGCTGAGGAATTACATTTAAAATGGGACCGGGAGCATCCACACCCTCGAATGACAGTGGGGGTCACTGAGAGGGAGCTTTTGCCTTTTTCTGTCTTCTGCGTTGGACTCTTTCAGTGCTAATACACGGAGTATTACTAGTTCCAAAAAGAATGGATGCCAGGGAGAAGGCTTCACAGAATTCCTAGTTATCTCCAAAAGGTGGAAAAAAAGCGGGGTGCCGTTTTAGGCCCTGACCCACGGGTAGCCTCATCCTGGGTGCGGTGCCAGCTGAAGAAGTTTAAATGGGTGGTGGTAGAGTGCAGGTGAGGAGATGGGCCGTGGAGAGGAGGGCGGGCGCATGGTGTGTGTGGGGTATGTGGTGTGTGTGGGGGGTGGGGGTGTTGTGTGTGTATGGGGCACATGGCATGTGTGTGGGGAGGTGTGTGGCGTGTGTGTGGGGAGGTGTGTGGCGTGTGTGTGGGGAGGTGTGTGGCGTGTGTGTGGGGAGGGCATGTGGTATGTATGTGGGGAGGTGTGTGGCATGTGTGTGGGGATGTGTGTGGCGTGTGTGTGGGGAGGTGTGTGGCGTGTGTGTGGGGAGGTGTGTGGCGTGTGTGTGGGGAGGGCATGTGGTATGTATGTGGGGAGGGCATGTGGCATGTGTGTGGGGATGTGTGTGGCGTGTGTGTGGGGAGGTGTGTGGCGTGTGTGTGGGGAGGTGTGTGGCGTGTGTGTGGGGAGGGCATGTGGTATGTATGTGGGGAGGGCGTGTGGCATGTGTGTGGGGAGGTGTGTGGTGTGTGTGGGGAGGGCGTGTGGTGTGTGTGGGGAGGGCGTGTGGTGTGTCTCTGTGGGGAGGTGTGTGGTGTATGTGTGGGGAGGTCATGTAGCGTGTGGGGAGGGTACATGGTATGTGGGGCGTGTGGTGTGTGTGGTGCTTTGGGGGCGTGGGTGTGGAGGGAAGTGGGGCATTGGTGTGGGAGAGCAGGTGTGTGTTGTAGAGCTGAATGGGAGCAGAAGGGTGCACGGAGCTGTTAAGCATGGAGGGGAAGTGGAAATTGGGCTCTCTGGACAAACCTCTTGAAGGCTGTGGACCTTGAACAGCTCTTAGAACTATCAGGATGGTGAACGTTCTGGAATGTGAAAGACATGGCAGGTAGCGAAGTGAGAATCCCAGTTGTAAAGTAGCAGCAGGGACATTTCCACCTTTGGAGCTTCCACAGACTGGAGAGTGGGCTCTGTTGTCTGTTGTTTCCAGGCCCTTCTGGCAAGTGAGGAGAGAGACCGCTCTGACCTCAGCCTGGGGCAGAAGACCAGGAGCCTCCAGCCAGAGCAGTCCCATCAGCTGACTTAAGTCCCACCGTGGCCACCCTCTGCCAGTGCGGAGGGTCCCATGTGACAGATCGGGGGCCTGGGTCAGGGGAAGCATGGAACTTAAGTGCCAAAGTCAACAAATGGTGGACCCGTAGGGGGCCCAGGTGCATCTGGCTGCAAAGCTGGGCCTTTTCCCCAGTGGCGAGGGCGTCGGCAGCTGTGCCACTGAAGGGTGTGTGGCCTTCCCTGGGGCTTCACTCTCATGTCATCGCGCAGGCAAGCTCACGCGGCTCTCTTGTTCTCAGCCTCTCTGCTCCTCACCTCTTCCTTCCTCACTCCCCTGGCCATTCTCTGAACTTTGTTTTTATCTATCATTATTAAAGTACTCATTCAGAGAGGCAGTTACTTTCTATTTGCCAAATTCCATGGCCTCTTTTTTTTTTAATTGCATTTTAGGTTTTGGGGTACATGTGAAGAACATGCAAGATAGTTGCATAGGTACACACATGGCAGTGTGATTTGCTGCCTTCCTCCCCACCACCTGTATCTGGTATTTCTCTCCATGCTATCTGTCCCCAACTCCCCACCCCCTGTTGTCCCTTCCCTGTTCCCCCAACAGACCCCAGTGTGTAGTGCTCCCCTCCCTGTGTCCATGTGTTCTTTAAGACCCACCTATGAGTGAGAACATGCGGTATTTCATTTTCTGTTCTTGTGTCAGTTTGCTGAGAATGATGTTCTCCAGGTTCATCCATGTCCCTACAAAGGACACAAACTCATCATTTTTGATGGCTGCATAATATTCCATGGTGTATGTGCCACATTTTCCCTGTCCAGTCTATCATCGATGGGCATTTGGGTTGGTTCCAGGTTTTTGCTATTGTAAACAGTGCTGCAATGAACATTCGTGTGCATATGTCCTTATAGTAGAACGATTTATAGTCCTTTAGATATATACCCAGTAATGGGATTGCTGGGTCAAATGGAATTTCTATTTCTAGGTCCTTGAGGAATCGCCACACTGTCTTCCACAATGGTTGAACTAATTTACACTCCCACCAACAGTGTAAAAGTGTTCTTATTCTCCACATCCTCTCCAGCATCTGTTGTCTCCAGATTTTTTAATGATCGCCATTCTAACTGGCGTGAGGTGGTATCTCAATGTGGTTTTGATTTGCATCTCTCTAATGACCAGTGATGATGAGCGTTTTTTTATATGTTTGTTGGCCTCATGTATGTCTTCTTTTGTAAAGTGTCTGTTCATATCCTTTGCCCACTTTTGAATGGGCTTGTTTGTTTTGTTCTTTTAAATCTGTTTTAGTTCTTTGTAAATTCTGGATATCAGCCCTTTGTCAGATGGGTAAACTGCAAAAATTTTTTCCCATTCTGTTGGTTGCTGATTCACTCTAATGACTGTTTCTTTTGCCGTGCAGAAGCTGTGGAATTTGATTAGGTCCCATTTGCCTATTTTGGCTTTTGTTGCCAATGCTTTTGGTGTTTTGGTCACGAAGTCCTTACCTACTCCTATGTCCTGAATGGTTTTGCCTAGATTTTCTTCTAGGGTTTTTATGGTGTTAGGTCTTATGTTTAAGTCTTTAATCCATCTGGAGTTAATTTTGGTGTAAGGTGTCAGGAAGGGGTCCAGTTTCTGCTTTCTGCACATAGCTAGCCAGTTTTCCCAACACCATTTATTAAACAGGGAATCCTTTCCCCATTGCTTGTTTTTGTCAGGTTTGTCAAAGATCAGATGGTTGCAGATATGCTATGTTGCCTCTGATGCCTCTGTTCTGTTCCATTGGTCTAGATCTCTGTTTTGGTACCAATACCATGCTGTTTTGATTACTCTAGCCTCGTAGTATAGTTTGAGGTCTGGTAGGATGATGCCTCCTGCTGTGTTCTTTTTACTTAGAATTGACTTGGCTATGCAGGCTCTCTTTTGGTTCCATATGAAGTTTAAGCTGTTTTTTTCCAGTTCTGTGAAGAAGGTCATTGGTAGCTTGATGGGGATAGCGTTGAATCTGTAAATTACTTTGGGCAGTATGGCCATTTTCATGATATTGATTCTTCCTAACCATGAACATGGAATGTTTCTCCATCTGTTTGTGTCCTCTCTTATTTCGTTGAGCAGTGGTTTGTAGTTCTCTGTGAAGAGGTCCTTTACGTTCCTTGTTAGTTGTATTCCTAGGTATTTTATTCTCTTTGTAGCAATTGTGAATGGCAGTTCGTACTTGATTTGGCTCTCTTTCAGTCTGTTATTGGTGTATAGGAATGCTTGTGATTTTTGCACATTGATTTTGTATCCTGAGACTTTGCTGAAGTTGCTTATCAGTTTCAGGAGATTTTGGGCTGAGACGATGGGGTCTTCTAGATATACTATCATGTCATCTGCAAATAGAGACAATTTGGCTTCCTCCTTTCCTATTTGAATACCCTTTATTTCTTTTTCTTGCCTGATTGCTCTGGCTAGAACTTCCAGTACTATATTGAATAGGAGTGGTGAGAGAGGGCATCCTTGTCTAGTGCCGAATTTCAAAGGGAATGCTTCCAGTTTTTGCCCATTAAGTATGATATTGGCTGTTGGTTTGTCATAAATAGCTTTTATTATTTTGAGATACGTTCCATCAATACCTAGTTTATTGAAGGTTTTTAGCATAAAGGGCTGTTGAATTTTGTCAAAGGCCTTCTCTGCGTCAATTGAGATAATCGTGTGGTTTTTGTCTTTGGTTCTGTTTATGTGGTGAATTACGTTTATAGACTTGAGTATGTTGAACCAGCCTTGCATCCCCGGGATGAATCCTAAAAATATGGAACGCTGCATGAATTTGCATGTCATCCTTGTGCAGGGGCCATGCTAATCTTCTCTGTATCGTTCCAATTTTAATATATGTGCTGCCAAAGCGAGCACCGTGGCCTCTTTTCAAACCTGACCTTGTCTCAGTGTTTTCCTACCTGTTTTCACCTCACAGCTCAAATAGACACTGAAAACACACTGCTTGAAGCTGGAGGTGACCAGTCAGTTAGGGAGCCCTGTCGCCTGCTCACTCAGCAGCATGTGGCTGTCACTGGTCCTGGAACCTGTCCCATAGCAGCCATGAGCTCCCCTCTCCCCCGGCTTTCGGATTATATCTGTCTTGTGTAGTCTTGGAGATTTTCCTGACCTACTATCATCATGAGAGCAGATAATGTGACATCTCCAACCCAGCTCAAAGAAGGAGACTCAGGTTGAGATTTCTGTTCTCGGGCCTGGAACTGCGTGGCGCATGGAAGGAGCTCAGTGTTGTGTTTTTAAATGAATGTTGAGTGAATTTAAGTTACCGTCCTATTCCCCAGCACACACAAATGCACAGTCCCATCCATGTGACTCTTCTGTCATTGCACCATCAGCCTGTATTCTGTAATGGAAATTCTCCTGAGAGATTGGGAACCAATGTGAAAAATGCGATTTTGTCCCTGTGTGTAAGTTTTTGTCTTCTGAGGTCTTACGTAGTGACATTTTTCCTTGGTGTCATGATAAGCAACACCCAACCATTAGCAGTGCTGTGTCACCTCAACATCCTTCAGATGCAGGGTAGCACAGCTATAACAATACCTCAGTCACAAAAATTAAAACATTGAAATAAGAGGAAATGCTGAGGGTGGTGGCTCACACCTGTTATCTCAGCACTCTGGGAGACCAAGACAGGAAAATTGCTTGAGCTCAGGAGTTTGAGATCAGCTTGGGCAAGATGGCAAGACCTCACCTCTACTCCAAATAAAAAAATTAGCTGGGTGTGGTGGTGTGCATCTGTAGTTCCAGCTACTTGGGAGGCTAAGGCAGGAGGAGGATCGCTTGAGCTTGGGAGCCTGAGGCTACAGTGAGCTTTGATTGTGCCACTGCATTCCAGCCTGGATGACAGAGCAAGACTTGTCTCAAAAATAATAAAGAAAGAATGCTTAGTGTTACTAGTCAGTGAATTGATTGTTACAAAGACACTATCCAAGAAGAATCAAAGGCAAGAAGAATACTCGCCTGAGCGTGAGTCGCCAGCACTCCCCTTCTTCAAGTTGGGCAACTTCCCAAGCTGCTCATGGCTCACCCCAGTTCCTCTTATTTTTTTATGTTTCATCCCTCCATCCTCTTCTAACTCCTGCCATCCCTGGGCTTCTCTGGCTCTATTCTCTGATTCACGGCCACCTCTTCCTGTGCCCACGTTTCCGAGTGACTTTTGCCGAGTCCTTTATTAACCCTGTTGGCTTCTAAGCCACTTAATCACATTGCCTATTAATCACATTGGCTTCTTTGTGAGTGCAGCCTCACAAAGATTCCCTCCATAGATTTAAAAAGATTACATTGTGATGAAACATACATTTGCCATCTTAACCATTTAAAAGTGTACAGTTTAGTCATGTTAAGCACATTTACATTGTTGTGCAATCAGTACCCAGAACTCTTTTCATCTTGCAGAACTGAAACTGACCCATTAAACAGCTCCCTATTTCCACTCCTGCCATCCCCTAGTAACCCCTGTTCTACTTTCTGTCTCTGTGACTTTGACCATTCTAAATACCTTGTATCTAGAATAATATAGATACAGGGTATTCCCGTGACTGGCTTATTTCACTCAGTGTCATGTCCTTGGTTTATCTACATTGTAACGTGTCAGAATTTCTTTCCTTTTTGAGGCTGAATGGTATCCCATATATAGGGGAGATACATACACATACATATACATACCACATTTTGTTGATCATTCATCAGTGGACATTTGTGTTGCTTTCATCTTTGGGCTACCGTGAATAATGCTGCTATGAACGTGTATATACAAATATCTCTTTGAGACCCTGCTTTCAATTCCTTTGGATAAATACTCAGAAGTAGAATCCAGCAGGATCATATGGTAGTTCTATTTTTAGTTTATAAAAATTCCATAGCAGCTATACTGTTCTACAGTCCAGCAGTGCACAAGGGTTCTAGTATCCCCACATTCTTCCAACACTTTTTGCTGGTATATATTTTTTTGAGACAGAGTCTTGCTCTGTCGCCCAGAGTGTAGTGGTATGATCTTGGCTCACTGCAGTCTCCACCTCCCAGGTTCATGCGATTCTCCTGCCTCCACCCCGAGTAGCTGGGACTACAGGCACCCACCACCATGCCCGGCTATTTTTTGTATTTTTAGTAGAGACAGGGTTTCACCATGTTGGCCAGGCTGGTCTCAAACTTCTGACCTCAGGTGATTCCTTTGCTTTGGCTTCCCGAAGTGCTGGGATTACAGATATGAGCTACAGCGCCTGGACTATTTTCTGTGTGTTTTTTTTTTTTTGGATAGTAGCCATCCTGATGTGTGTGACATAGTATCTCATTGTGGCTTTAACACTTTGCTAGTGATTATGATGTTGAGCATCTTTTCATGTCCTTGTTGACTGTTTATCTTCTTTGCTTTTTGGAAACAGAGTCTCATTCTGTTGCCAGGCTGGAGTGCAGTGGCGCAGTCTCGGCTCACTGCAACTTCCACCTCCTGGGTTCAAGCGATTCTCCTCCCTCAGCCTCCCAAGTAGCTGGGACTACAGGCCTGCACCACCATGCCTGGCTAATTTTTTTGTAGTTTTGGTAGAGACAGGGTTTCACCATGTTGGCCAGGATGGTCTCGATCTCTTGACCTTGTGATCTGCCCGCCTGGGCCTCCCAATGTGCTAGAGTTACAGGCATGAGCCACCGTGCCCGGCCAACTGTTTATCTTCTTTGGAGATACGTTTAAGTCCTTTGCTCATTTTTAAATTTGGTTGTGTATTCTTTTCCATAAGCCTTTGTAAAAAAGGGCTCTGTCTGTTTTTGTTTTTGTTTTTTATCTCAGCCTCCTTTGTGGAGGGAGGGTCACTCTTCCCCTGGCTGCAGCTCTCTCCTTTCTCTGGTCTATGGACCTGTCCTTCATTCTGAGCCTTTTGGTGGCACTAGTGCCACTTTACTAATCCAGACTAGAAGCTTCAGGCTTCCAACTCCCTGTATTTTATTTCTCATGGGCAGCCAGTTGCCAAATCTGTCAGTTCTGCCTGCACCAGGTGGGTTTACTCCATCCTCTCCCTTCTGGTGTTAGAGCCGCCACACCGGTTCCAGGGTGCCCAGTGCAATCTCATGCTAATATATAGTTTGGAGATGATTCATCTCTGATGTCTAATGAAATCTCAGGGTGGGGTAGCATTGGCAAAGGGTGGCATAATATTTGGTACCACATATAATAATATAGTTTATATTTGGAAAATGAATATCTTTTTATAACACATGGAATAAAGCTTGAGAAGCTGTACAAAGGATAGATTTTTTCTGTGAGCAGGAAATTACAATATTGATACTGATATGTTTATTGAGCACCTACAATATTGCCAGGCACCAGTGTGTTACAGGTAGGCAATGACTGTCTGGAACCAGTGGTGTGGGTGGAGGAAGAATTTACCAAGACAGTTGTAGGTAAAGAAAAACAGATTTATTAAAGTAGGAAAATATGTTGCAAGAGTGCAATTAGCAAGAAGGGAGCTGTTGCCGGGAAAGAAAGGCTTGCTGGGGATTTCATAGAATGGTGCTTGTGCTGTGTACTGAGAGGGCTTTGTGCAGGGCTGATAATTCCAAGGTTGCAGTGAGCAAATTTGCATTTTTCTATCAGCCGAGGGTCTGGTGATAACTGGATGCAGGAAGATTTTGAGGTATTAATATTTGTGCAGGAAGACTGTGTATCCTGGACCATGAAGAAAGGCAGATATAGCTTTATCTGCTTCTCTTTCAGCTTTCCCTTGGTCCTGCCAGCCCAACTTCCCCTTCCTAATTAGGACTCCATAAAGCGCTTAACACATATTAGCCTGTTTGACCTCATCACAGCCTCGTGAGGCAGACGATATTATTAGCCAGATAGAGAAGTTAAGGCCAGGTCCCAGGCCACACACCTGGGAAGTGGCGGGTGGAGTGTGCAAGCTAAGCTCTGCAAGTTTGGTTCTAGAGCTGTCCACTGCAGCCGGAGGAAGTATGGGGCTTGTTCTGTTCTCCAGAAGTGGGCATGAGTTAACTGGGCCTCAGGAAACCAGGCCTCTGGGACGAGCCCTGGGCTCCTCACCCTCCGCCGGTCTTGCCAGCTGCTGTTCCTTCTCCATGCCACTGTGGGCCCTGTGGCCTGTGCATGAATCCCATGGTGGATCCCAGTGACTTCTCTCCTCTGTCCCTTGCAGGCATTGCTATTCTGGAGTGTGACACAGATGTGTGACTACTCAGATGTGAGACGGAGTCTCACTCTTGTCACCCAGGTTGGAGTACAGTGGTGCAATCTCGGCTCACTGCACCCTCCGTCTCCTGAGTTCAAGCGATTCTCCTGCCTCAGCCTCCCAAGTAGCTGGGTTACAGGCACGCACCACCATGCCTGGCCAATTTTTATATTTTTTAGCAGACAGGATTTCACCATGTTGGCCAGGATGGTCTCGATCTTTCAACCTTGTGATCCGCCCACTTCGGCCTCCCAAAGTGTTGGGGATTACAGGTGTGAGCCACTGCGCCCGGCCACATCTGTCATCTTTAAAGAGCCACTTCGGTGCTGTTTCCTCTGCGAGGCCTGATCTTCCCAGGTCTGCCTCCCTCTCCATCCTCCTCAGCATGCTTATCCCGGGGGCTCCAGGGGAGGCGCCAGCACTTGTGACATCTTGCCTCAGTGTCTAGGTGTGTTCCTGTTTCTTCCCAACTACATTGTAGGTAACAGGAGACAAGATTTGTCTGCTGAGACCCGAGCACTTTTGTATTTCTCAGTGCCAAGCATGGACTGTGTTGTGAAACAGACACTAAGTGTTTCCCAGACGGAGGCTCAGGCAGTCATAAAACTCACAGCTATGGTTTAAACCCTGATTTTTGTGGGTCAGTCAGAGTTCCCATCTCCAGAACAGACCTGGGAATCTTTCCTCAGTGAAAAGTCCGCTGATTCAGAGACCCTGGCTACCCTCTTCTCTACGTGTCCCAGTGAGGTTCTCTTTCCAGGGCTTTCCATTTTCTCCTCACAGTGGAAGTTTCATTAGGCAAACAGGAAGTGGCTCACAGGCACCCTCACCCTGATGCAAACGTGAGCGGTGGCCAGGAGACAGGTAAGGAACTGGCCTGTGCCTGTAGGGAGGTGAGGCCAGCCAGAGACGCTAGCCCGCTGGGCATCTGTCCATTGAGGCTGATTCCTGGAGTGACTCTAGAGAGGCAAGACCGGGGCACTCTGGTTTTTATTTCAGTTTTTCCTGAGGTAACCAATAGTAATGGGTGGTCTTGGGAGGAGACAAAAGAGACTTAAATCATGGCATCAGAAGAAAATGTCTCTGACCTGGTGTGGCTCACACCTATAATCCTAGTGCTTTGGGGGACTGAGGTAGGAGGATCGCTGGAGGCCATGAGTTCAAGACCAGCCTGGACAACATAGCATCACCACATCCTACTTACTTAAATTTTATTTTTGTAGAGATTGGATCTTACCATGTTTCCCAGGCTGGTCTTAAATTCCTGACCTCCAGTGATCTTCTGCCTTGGCCTCCTAAAGTGCTGGGAGGCATGAGCCACCGCACCCAGCCCAGTATTTTTTTTTTAACCTCTTCCAGAAGCTTACGTGCTTTGAAGAAGGCTTCTTTCCCATCTTAACAGAAAAATTCCTTTCTTTTATATTTCCCAGAGTGTCGAGTTATCGCTTTCTCTCCAGCTCATCCTGGCCTCACCCATGTCCAGTTCTCGTGCCAGGCACATTCGAATCTGCTTGCCTTGGCTGTGTCTCTTCCCTGATTCCTGTGTTCTACAGCCACCTTCACGTGGTCTGTAGAGAAGGTGGCTGAGTGCCCTGAAGGTATCTGGCTCCCTCAGGCCTGGCCTCCTCATTGGCATCATTCTGGGTCAGCTCCTTACCCATCAGGCTTGGGTCTAAACCTCTCTAAAGGGTGGAAAGTGACTCCCAGTGGTGAGCCGTGGCTTGGAGACAGTTTGGTTCATGGGCCGCAGCACATAGAATGTACAAGGCCTCACTTGTGGTTGGGATACATTTGGCAGGTCGGGGGTTTGACCTAGTTTGGGGCATGTTGGCCCTCTGGCCACCATCAGAGCCCAGTGGAGCGCTTGAGTTAGGAGGGAGAAGCCATCTTTGGGAACCACTGCAACCACAAGGCCTGCTCTAGCTGCACAGGATAACTCTGAAACTCACCAGAGCAAAGTTGTGAAATTCAAATGACATAATTCCCATTTGAGAAAGTCTTCTAAATCTCTTTAAGAAAAACTTGAAATAACCTGCCGTATATTTCTTCTTTCAGATTCTTTTGACGTACATAAGTAACTTTCCTCCTTATTTTCTCAGACTTCTCTAACTCTCCATTTAAAAGTATCTGCTATTGGGAAAAGCATAAATAAGCCTCCAGTTTATCAGTTTATTTATAAATTGGGGTTCAGAGGAGTCAGCTGGCCAGTAGTCATCTTATTGCAATTGTCTGATTAAAGAGGAAAGGCACATCAAATGTCTCAAGTAATGGAATAGTTCATGTGATCTGGGAAAACCTACTTCTTTTCTAGTTCTAGAATGGGACACAGGAGAATAGCAGGGCAGTACCACGTATTGCTGTATATTTGCAAAGTCTGCACACGCTTTGAAGTGTGGATGAGTAAATCCTAGAAGGAACCAAAGACATACGACTCTGAATTGTAATGTTTCTTCTTCCTGTGTGGAAATGGGGGTGTTTTCCCCACGAGTCTTTGTTGTGTTTGGATAGGTGTGAAGATTTAGGTTAGGAGAGCCCCTTTGCAGAACTCCTCCTTAGACCTGCAAACCCAAGGCTTTGCTTTTTCAAATAAATGCCTCAAAAGGAGGGAGCATGTTGATGGCATTTTAATGTAGGGCTTTGGCCTTTGACAAATGTGTATGCAGAGGAGCTCAAGACAAGAGATGCCAATTCTGTGTGCAGAGCACTCACGTGGGCCTCCCTTTCCAGGTGCCGGCGGATGTTGAGAAATGTCAGGATCGGATGGAGTGTTTCAATGCTGACCTGAAAGCTGACATGGAGAGGTGGCAGAACAACAAGAGGCAGGACTTCCGGCAGCTACTCATGGGGATGGCGGACAAGAACATTCAGTACTATGAGAAGGTAATGAGTGTGCCCAACAAGACTGGTTTCTAGTGGCTGGAGCCTTTCACGTGGGCTTACCAGAAATCCAGAAACTGGGAATCCTGCTATGCTAGCCTCATTTCCTTCCCTTATTTTATCTGCTTAGTCTTGGCTCCTGCTTCCTGCCCTTGCTCAGCTGTGTGGCTGCAGTGTTGGGTTTGGCGCAGAGGGGGCACTCACAGGGGTCTCCCTTGCACGTGCCGCTTGGAGGAGCAGCAGGTTGGTCTTCCGTGCTCTCCGGGACTGGCGCTGGTTGCTTTCCAGAGCCAGGCAGACCTTCAGCACAGGGATGCAGCCACTGAGTGGAGGCTTGGGGTTACATTACTCTGTCTTGGGGTTCCATACACAGGGGCCCTTCACTTTGATTGTGCAGTGAACCCCTTTGGTCATCTGGTGAAGCCTGTAGACCCCACATCAAAATACTTTTCATTTGTTTTTTATATAAACTTCAAAATACTGACTTTAAATACCTAAAATAAAAAAGGGATGTAGGATTATGAACTATTAAAAAGTTTTACTCAGGGATTTGTGGACCCTACGTTAAGCACCCCAATACACACACACATACCACCCCCCACACACACCACACCCCCTCACACTACATGCACACCACACACACTGTACACCACCCCCAACATACACCCCACACATACACACTCCACACACATACACTCCCAAACCCCACACACACCTCACACATATACCACACACTATACACACCCCCCACCCATACCCCACTCATTCCCGACTCACACATACACCATACATACACTGCACACACACCACACACCACACACCACACACTACCCACAAGGCAATGACTCTTTTCAGGCTACAGCCCAGGCCCCTCAATTAAGGTTTGCTTGATTCATATATCCAGCAAACCAACATGAGGCCAGTGCAGTGGCTCACGCCTGTAATCCCAGCACTTTGGGAATCCGAGGTGGGAGGATCACTTGAGCCCAGGGGTTCAAGACCAGCCTGAGCAACACAGTGGGACTCTGTCTCTACAAAAAATACACAATTAGCCAGGCGTGGTGTCATATGTCTATAGTCCCAGCTATTCGGCAGCTGCAGCAGGAGGATGGCTTGAGCCAGGAGTTCAGTGCTACCGTGAGCCATGATTGTGCACCACCACACTCCAACCTGGGTGACAGAGTTTTTGACCTTGTCGCAAAAAATATATATATATACATATATATATATATATATGTACATCTCCAACTTGACATTATTTCTGCTAATGAATCCTTGTACTTCTTAAAAGCTTAAAGATGAAGAACAGCCCAATCGCAGTTCAACACGTAACTTGTAGACTTGAAATCAAACTGTTGGACACACTATAGACTGTCAGCATGCTGCACAGTTATTAACTTGGCTACTAATGCCACAATTCTGGAAACATGTCCTTATCCCAGACGAGAAGAAGCCGTCTCTTCTGAAAGCTTTGATGGCTCTGGCCTGCTGTTCAGAGGCAGTATTTCTGCATCTTTTCAGGTTCATCTGGAGGAGGGCTCAGGAAACAGTCATGGAATGTCCCTTATGTGTCAGGCCTTAGGGAAGGGCTTTTTTAAAGTGGAAGGAGAAAGGTGACATGCCCCTTTACTCCTGTTTTTATGGAGCCCCCTATGAAGCTGGGCTGGCACTGGACTGGATGTTTTGTGTGTCCTGTCTCATGAAATTTCACCTTCACCATGACACTTGTCAAGTGGGTTTTATGATTTCCAATGTAAAGCTCAAGAAACCAAGCCTCAGAAACGTTTTAAGTTCTGCCCGAGGTTACACAGCTTGTGAGTGACCCAGCTAGAACTGGAGTTGGTTCTGATGAGTCCACTGGTCTGAGCGGTTCCAATGCACTGTCAGCCTAGAGGATAGGGGCCATATATCCCCAGGATCGTCCTGCCTGCACAAAGGTGGAACAGTCACTCCATAGGAGGTTGAGGCCCCGTTCCTCTACTGACTGTGCCTTAGGTAAGGTGCCTCTCTGCACCCGTTTCTTTGTCTGTAAGATGGGAGTGATCCTTCTACACTGAATAATTGCAAAGATACAGTGAAATAATGTATGCGTGAGTACCTCATGCATACCTGGAACATGGCAGACATTCAGTCAATGTCCTTTTTTTCCATAACTCCCTCACTTTCCCTCCGCTGTTCAGTGGCCCTCCCACTACTGCAGAGCCAACTAGGTCAGATGTCCCCATTACTCCCTTTGGTAATGAATCCTGGCATTCCTGTCTGTCTTCCCACTGTATCACAGGCAAGGCCACCGTCTTGGGGCCTGGTATTGCTTCTACACATACTTAAATTTTTTTGTGCATTTGCTGTGTGCAAGGAATGGTGTGTACAGAATTGATAAACAGCAGGATTTTTCCCTTGAGGCACCCTCAGTCTAATGGAGGGAATGTGTTCATCAAAGGAGCCCACCTGTTCAGAGTAAGATAAGGAAAAGAATGGGAAACAGTGGGAGAAAATACCCAGGCACAATGCAGGCTGAGGGTGGGAGGGGCAGGTGGAGTGGGCAGGAAAGGTCGGTCTGAGGAAATAACATTTAATCTGAGTCTCAGAGACAGACACTTGGAGAACAGATATTTCAGGCAAAGGAGACAACATACACAAGATCCCTGGGGTAAGAAAGAGTTTGGTATGTTTAGGACCAAATAGAAAACTGGTATGGCCTTGATTTCTCATGGCTGACCTAGAAAGACCATTGCAGATCTGAAGTGATGGCCTAGGGAGAGAGCAGGACCTGGAATACCACAGACCCCATACCATCTTCCCTATATCAGGTGGGCTTCTGAGTTTAGCTTCCTTTCTAACCTGAGAGTCACCAAGGAGGAGTCAAGGAACAATTTCACCACTCTTTTGTGGCTTGACCAAAGGATGCCTCTCTCCTCCTCCCTCCTCAGAACTCCTCCCACCTCTTCAGAACTCCTCCTCCCTCCTCAGAACTCCTCCCACCTCTTCAGAACTCCTTCCCCTCCTCAGAACTCCTTTCCCCTCCTCGGGACTCCTCCCTCCTCCTCAGGACTCCTTCCATCTCCTCAGGACTCCTTCCATCTCCTCAGAACTCCTTCCACCTCCTCAGAACTCCTCTCTCCTCAGGACTCCTCCCACCTCCTCAAAACTCCTCCTCCCTCCTCAGAACTCCTCCCCCCTCCTCAGGACTCCTCTCTCCTCCTCAGGACTCCTTCCATCTCCTCAGAACTCCTTCCACCTCCTCAGATCCCCTCTCTCCTCAGGACTCTTCCCACCTCCTCAAGACTCCTCCTCCCTCCTCAGGACTCCTTCCATCTCCTCAGAACTCCTTCTACCTCCTCAGAACTTCTCTCTCCTCAGGACTCCTCCCACCTCCTCAAGATTCCTCCTCCCTCCTCAGAACTCCTCCCACCTCCTCAGAACTCTTTCCCACTCCTCAGGACTCCTCCCACCTCCTCAGAACTCTTTCCCACTCCTCAGGACTCCTCCCACCTCCTCAGAACTCCTTCTCCCTCAGAACTTCTCCCACCTCCTCAGAACTCCTCCCACCTCAGAGCTCCTCTCACCTCCTCAGGACTCCTCCTTACCTCCTCCCCCAATTCCTCCCACCTCCTTAAAACTCCTTTTACCTCCTCAGGACTCCTCCCACCTCCTCGGGACTCCTCCCCATCCTCGGAACTACTCCTCCCTCCTCTGAACTCCTTCCCCCTCTTCTGAACTCCTCTTTCATCCTCAGAACTCCTCCCACCTCCTCAGAACTCCTACCCCCTCCTCCTTCCTCAGAATTCTTCCCTCCTCCTCAGAATTTTTCCTCCCTCAGAGCTCCTCCTTCTCCCTCCTCAAACCTCTCCCACCCCCTCAGAACACCTCCCCACCTCTTCAAAACCTCTCCTCACCTCCCCCAAACCCTTCCCACCTCCTCAAAACTCCTCCCTACCTCTTTAGACCTCTTCCCTAAATGACTCAGTACAAAGGCCTCCTCCATCCCTGGGCCACTACTAAGAAGCCTTGTGTGATTCACCTGCCCTCTTTATGCAAGAGACTTTCCAAAGAGAGAATCAAGACTCCTCCCTGGCATTGTCCTCAGAATTCTGCTCTTAGAGGACAATGCCAGAGTCTTCTGAGTTCTCAGCCTTTCACAAGGATCTGGAATGAAAAGAGGCTGGTGGTGTGGAGAGAACATCAGTGTGGGAATCAGGAGCTCTGCCATGGACAAGCTGTGTCTGAGCCAGTTGTTTAACCTGTTTTTCTTCCCCATCCATGAAACCAATTCTCCTTCATAGAGGAGCTGTGAGGACTGGTGCTAACGAATATAAAGTTTGTCACCGTGTTTGGGCATAATAAAACTCAATAAATCTGGATTCCCACTTCCATTTTCCCTTTCGGGAGATTGTGGCCCAAACAAGCAAACTGAAGGTTGGTGAGGAGGAGTGGGCTTTCCACCTGCTCCGAGTCCAGTGGCTGGGCTGCTCCAACTATGATTGACATCCTGCACAAGTGCCACCCACACCTGGGGCAGTGTCTCATCCCTGTTGAGGTCCTAGGGCCTCGTCAGGGGCTTTCTGCTTGGTCTCTTTTCTGCTTTTTTGAAAGGCAAAGAATTTCCTCCAGTGAATCCATTTCCATTCTCTGGGTATGAGCTTTATAGACTAACATGAATGCATTTAAGCCTTGCAGAGATATTGCTGTCTTTCATAAAGATGAGGTGACACCTTCAAAACAAACACTTACGACCTCCCCGTTTGTAATACTTATGGATGAGACATGCAGGCATCGTTAGACAAAGGTGACCCAGCAGGATCCACAACAAAAGAGTAGATCAGAGCAGAATGAAGGCACTCGACTGATCTCTGAAACTCAGAGCTGATTCTGTGTGTGTATGTTGTCGTTGCAGTGCCTCATGGCGTGGGAGTCGATTATTCCACTACTGCAGGAGAAACAAGAGGCCAAGTAAGTTCCTTCCTGGGATGGAGACTCTTCTACCTACACAGGGCCTGGCACCCCATACCAGAATGTCCCTGCAGTGCCAGACAGGCAGCGCTGGGAAAACAACCACAGAAACATCTCTCCTTTGTATTTTTTCCCTCCCCGATCCTTCACCCCAAATTAGTATTTATTCCTTGGTGGAGTCTGTGAGGCTAGAATCATCTCTCAGCAAAAGCAGCATACCTCTGTGTTATGAAGGCACCTGCTCAGTGAAGCACTACGAACATTTGAAACCAAGGGACAAGACAACCTGCAGCTGACATTCTGACCATTCATTCGTGACAGTTTCCTCTTTAGGGACAGCTAAGTGGCCTGTGGTAGGAGAGAACCTGGGGCCTACTTTTCAAGGAGGAGGAGGCAGGAACAGAAGGCAGCCATTGCTTTCTGTGGAAACGTGGTACCTTTGGAATTGGCCCCTGTAGCCATTGACTCATCTTGGCCTAGGAGGTGTCGGTGGCTCCCTGGAGAGTCCTTAACGTCCAGTGGCCTGTCGCTGTGAGTGTGGCCTGCTGCCTGCTTGTGATGAGTGATACCGTCTTACTGTTTCTGTTTCACATAGGGACATTTAAATCAGTGTCAACCTGCGTCCATGCTTGAGTGAACAAGCCAGCGTCCTTGTCCTCCTGTGATGCCTTTGGGAAGCTCAGGGGAATGCTCCCCAAGCTTGTTTCTGACACTAGAATGCAATAGATTGGAAACTGTGTGTGTAAAATGAAAAAAAAGGTGCATTTTTTTTCTTTTTTTTTTCCGTGAAGGTCTTCAGTGTCTGTCTTTTGCTTGTTCACTGTCATCAAAGCAGGGTTAGACCTGTGAGGGAATATCTGTTGTCTCAAAGTCAGAGTAGCTCCCCGTCGTTGAGATAAGTGGGCATATACCAAGCTCCACCCCCGGTGTCAGCTTTGTGCGATTTGACTTTACCTCACCAAAAATACCTACTTTAATATTTCCTCCTATGTCCGCTGAATGTCTGGGCAAGCTTTTGGTGAGAGGGCTGGTATGTCATGTTGTTATGATCCAGTTGTAATTTGTCGATGCGGTGTGGACGTTCTACATAAAGTGCTTTAACCCTTAACATTTCCTGGTCAGGAAGGAAAGCCGGTACCTGGATGGGCCTCGAAAATGACAAATGCAGCAGCAAACCCTTTGTTTCCAGCCGAGCTAAAGTCTCCTCAATGTGCAGCCAGATTCCTGGGAACTGCTGACTGTCATTTAAGTTTGCATTTCAGACGATCGCCTGGTTTACTTTTCGGATCACAAATCGAACGGTCACCAAGGATCTATCTTCCAACTCATTTTTTTCCTGCTGAAATGAAGCTACATGTCATGTTTCTGTTCTTTCATCCGCGGCTCATCCCTATAAAACTATGAATCTGAGCCTCAAATAAGCTGTAGTTTTTTTGTTTTTGCTTTGCGTTTAATGAAACAGCTGTGTTAAGACGCTGCTTCGGGTGCAAGTGCACCTGGAAATACTGTTCAGCCGGCAGCATGTCAAGGTCACTTCAGCCCACTTTTAACTGCAGGTCGTGTCGGCCAAGGCTGTGGTGCTTGCTGTTGATGCCGCCGTTGGACCTCATAGGTCAGCTTGGTTCTATTTCGTTGTGTTCGACAATGTTGCAGTTTAAATGGTAATTTTTAAATCAATTGGTACTTGCCTGTACTGTTAAACCCTATTTGTGCCATTCTCAAGTCCTTTGATGTGAATTTTCAGTTTCATACAGTTAGAAATGACTCATTAATGCAGAAAGGGAAGAACAACCCAAGTACCCCCCAGTGATTGTGTGTTTCATTCTACCTCTAAGCCATCGTGTTGGCGTGGGTATGGACGCCTGGATCTGACCTGACACTGTGCTGGGAGAATCAGGGTGTGTGTCTAATGGCGAGCTGAAAGCCCTCTGTTGTTATTTGGCAGAAGACACCAGCCCAGCCCAGCAGCAAATGCTCATCTTTGGGAACATAGGAAGCTTTGCCTTGGGGAAGCTATGCTTTACAAATGCCTAATGTAATGAATGCTTGGAAAAAACTGGACTTACAGGAAAACTAAATCTGACTACCTGCTAGTTGCCAAAGCCCAGAAATATTCCTGTGTAATGGTTTGTTGGGAAAGAAGGCAGCTCTTCAAAAAATTCATCAGGTTCCTCACTGGGAGAGGTGGGGAGGGGCTTGGGATGCACACACATCATTCCCCCTCCTAGTGGCTCTGAAGGGAGGTGGGCACCATGGGATTTGGTCTTGCTCTATTTGGTCCACATGTGATGCTCTGTGCTGTAAGACATCAGCAAGATCGGGAACAAGGCAAACTTTCTGTCCTCCAGGCATGTTATTGACAGCGGAGCCAGGAAGTCCAGTGTACATTACAGGTTTTCTGGGAGAAATGGTCCTTCTGAGAAAGGATTCCTTCCCGGCCTCTAGGCTTGTGTCTCATGAGGTGAAGAGGCTGGTCCAGAAGGAAGGGGACGTTAGATGGTGGAGCAGGCGCCGCTGGGCCTCTGAGGACCAGCAGTCCCAACCATTTGCCTCTTCATTTTGATCAAGCACAAAGGAGATACTCCCTAGGAGAAGCGTCACATGGAGACTTCTGTGCCAAAGACTGCCATGCAGGACTTTCATCACCCCACCCTTCTTGGCTCCACAAAATTGTGGCCCTGAGATCACTATTCCTCTCTTAAGTTTTTTTTTTTTTTTTTTTTTACTTTACCTCAAGCAGACAGACATAGGTTTTGAGGCTTGAATACACGGCAGTGGAATGCAAGGCCCTCCCTAGCAGCCGCCCCAGGTCTGGGAAGTGATAGATTTCATAAGCCCGGGTTAAAAATCCAGAGAAGACAGAAGAGAGGCTTCCTAGGAGCCGAGCAAATTTTAGAGATGCAAGTGATATTAAGGAGAGCCTTGTGATTTGTAGCAAGAATGGGCACTGTTCTTTCTTACTAATGTGGTAGATCTACACGAAGATTCTAGGCTGTTCTACTCAGCAAGGAACCACTGCTCCTCAATGGGGAGGGAACAGCCAGCTTTAGTGTTGGGTTTTATCCTTCAATAAAAGTTTTATAATGATTCCTGTTCAACTTAAAATGTGATTATGGAGATGAGTGGCTCCATATTTCACCACGTCATTCCTTCAACTCACCAGACACCTTTCTTTAGCTGAAATAAACCGGCATGACCTGGAGATCAAGGTGACTGTAAGCTAAGTCTGTTTTCGTGCCACATTTCAGCCCCACCCAGAGTGTGTTCTAGATATTGTTGATTTGGATGGTTTTCTCAGTTACCACTCCACATGGGAGAGTTCAGTAAATGCATACCGGCTGCTCACTTGGTGTGAGGCTACCTTTTGTGATGAAAGGACAGGAAGTTCTGCTTCAGAGGAGGGCATGAGGACCGTGTGGCAGTCTGCAAGTTGAATTGTTCTCTCAGGGTGGCAGCCCAGGGAACATCCAGAGATTGTGCGACTTGGTCCTGCCGTTGCTGGCTTTGAAGTCACAGGCACCGGGCTCTGTCTTGACATCATTCATTGGACTGCAGGACAGTCATTCTTCACACTCTATCCTGAGCTGGTGAGAGAGGAGGAAGAGGGAAGTCAAGAGCAACCTCTGCGGGCTGGGTTGGCCTCTTCTGCTTGGGTCTTGGAGTGAGTTAGAACTGGATTCTTCTCTGGCCAGATGGGTTGCTGGCTGCACTGAGGGGTGATTGCTTTCAGAAGATGGACTGCCTGTGCTCAGGACAGGGCACACCAGTCTGGACTCCACCTTCCCAGACATCGACTTTAAGAAGCTGTGGAAACTGGGTGATTTAATTATAGGGCTGGGCAACACTGCTTTGGCCAACCTCATTTACAAACTTAGGTTGGAAATTTGGATTTCCTGTCTCCCTTCCAAAAGCCTGCAAGATGGCAACAGATGGACACACCCTCTCATTTCTTAGGTTTTCTCTGGCAGGTGGCAGGTGGCATTTATCAGTAAATTTGAGGCAAATGTTTTCTCGGGCCAACCTCACAGCTTGCGTTGGGTGTGTTGGAATTGTTCTCTTCTGCCTTGTGATTTTTTCAATTCAGCGAATAAATCAGGAATCCAGTTTTTCACCAACCCACTCTATAGATTGTCAGCTTTTCGTGTGAAGGATGCCTGGTCTCCTCACAGTTGCACGTATCGGAGTGTGTGTAAGAGTTGTCTGTGTTGGGGTGGGGGCATTGTCAAGGTTGTCAAGGTTGGGGTGGGGGCATTGTTGCAGGGGATTGACTCTTTTTCCTTCATCATAAATTTGAGATGCATCCTGAGTATGACTGTCTAACCCTTTCTATGGGGCTGAAAAATGTTTTCCAGGTAGTTTTTACTACTATAGATAGTCTACAAATAAGTGCTTTGGAAAAATAAACCAATAAGATATTTGTCTCCTGTATAAACATTCTGTGTATTTAGCACTTGGAAAATCAACAAATCCAGAATTTTAAAAAATGCCACAGACTGTTAAAAGCCCAACTCTACTTTTTTTTAGAATTGTCAGTCAGTACCTACTAATATGCCTTATTCTTCTTCAACTAATGTTTTAAGAGTCCTGGGTAGAAAGAGTTTTACAAATGTAATGAGTTGTTCAGCTTCAATAATATAGAGATCTACATACATAGTCAGCCCTCAGGTCCCCTAAAGAAACCAGCAAGAAAGTGAGGGCCATCACCAGGGTTAGCTTTGGGGAGGGGAAAACCAAACTGCTTTTGCCAAATAATATTTTTGATAATGTCAGGAAACACAGGGACCACAAAACCTTTTTTTTTTTTTTTTAAGTGTGAAAGGTTAATTTAGTGCCTTTTGGCATACTTTTGATTTTAGAGGATATTGTATCGACATTGACAAATCATGTAGATACAAAGAATGCTCTAGATGACAAGAGTATTAAATGTTACTCCTGATTCTACAGCACAGTTTTGAAGATACCGTGGGCTATCTTCAAGCCTCAGAGCAGCTTGATTCAGATAGAAATTCTCCATGAGTTGAAATGCCAAAAACGGAAAAGATGGTGTTGACTCACGTAATTTAGTCCGTTTCAGCAGAGCCTTTGCCAGTCAACACCAGTGATGAGGAAAATTGCATATTCGCTCCCAGCAGCAGCACCTTCGCACCAGGTGGTTCTGGGCTCTCTGTAGGCCAGTCCTTAGTAGGTGACACCCAGCAACACCCCTGTTGGATAGGATTGTTCAGTCTTAGACCAGTACTTTAGTCAGAAATGATACTGAGGAGAGGAAAGGGAAATCACTTTTTTTCCTCCATGTGGAAATGAGAGAGGAAAGTAGATTGCAAACCAAAATGTGCATCAATGTGATCAAGCAGTGGCTCTGCCATCTGGGCCTTTCTCCAATAACAAACCAGCATCTCTTAATGGCACTGTTGGCCTGGACAGCCCTGAGGTTTGGGTCCCGTCTGGCGGATTTCCTGTCCGTTGCATTTCTGTGTGTCTGTTCCCTTCATCGCTGTGAGTTGGGAGTGCATTGAGGGATGACGTCTATCTGATAGATTCCTGTGAAATCAACTGCCAGTAAACTTTCTAACTCGTATTTTAACTGTAAAAGAAGAGATTTAAAACTTCAGCTTTGGACATGTCCGCACTAGGGACTGTTACTTCTTATTTTTAAAAGTCATTCTTTACGTTTAAGATTTTAAAATGCAAATCTTCTGAGGTATTGACGAAGTCCGCCGTGTAAACGTGTTACTTTCTCTCCATGCTGCCGTTAGCCAAAATAAAAGCTGTGAAAAAAAGTGCTTGAGAGTGTGTATGGGTAAAAGAGTGGCTTATTTCCAGGTGAGTCTTTGTTTCACGAAGCTACCAAACTTTAAAAAGAATGTCACCTTGTTTTCTTTGTTATGGAAACCAGAGATTGTAAAATGGAAAAACAGTCGTTTTTGTTGACTTTTTGATGCTGGCACGAGGTTTTTGTCCATTTTTTTCATATATCTGTGTATAAAAAATTGTTGTTTACTATGGAATTAGTATTACATTTTGAGGTAAACAAAAGAATTTGTATTGCTTGATAAATATTAGCTTGTAAATTTAAAGTTTCTTTACTTCAATTAACTTAAAGTAATGGACCAATAAACCCATCAAAGATGCTTTCTTTACCTTGAGTCATGTCCTCGTTTGTGCCTTCTTGTAAGACAGAAAAACATGTGTCTGTTTTTCTGTTTTCTTACTTTCTCTTTACACATTGTCAGTTTGCCTATAAGAATCAAGACATACGGAGCGACACGAAGAAATATATATAATTGAACTATTTTTATTCTTCTTCACTTCTTCATAGGCCCATCCTCAGTTTACTCTCTTCCACATCAGCACCAATTTTGGAAGATGAAGAAACTTCCTAGTGTGGTAACCATCGTGGTTGGCAGGCAGGCTGGCAGCCAGCCGAGGTATTTACTACATGGAAGATTTCCTGCGTTATCCCATCGCAAAGCACAGCATTATGTTCTGGGTCAAGGCCAGTCCACTTGACCTCATGATGTAACGCATTGAACTTCACTGTGCTTAAAATGGTGCTGAACTTGACTTATTGACAGTGGACATCATTAAGACTGCAGTCATACAAAATAAGGCAGCAAGATGAATAAGACATGGCTCAAATCTCAGCTTTTCCACTTACTAGCTATGTGGGTTTAGGCAAGTCACACTTCTCTGAACATGTAGTATTACAGTCTGAGTTGAAAACAGGCCTTCCACGAAGGTTGTCGATAGGACTAGCAATATGGTATACAAAGCACTTATGTGTCAGGTAGGTTCTCACCATGTGATAGCCCATTTCTGAAGACTTCTAATTTAAATATTAAGGCTATTAGGATAATATTCTTAAATATTAAGGATATGGCCAATTTAAAATATTAAGGACAACAATCCTTCCTGTATGATTTGCCAGTCTGTTGTTGTTGTCGTTTAACAGGATATTCCTTTTTCTTTTTGAGACAGGGTCTTGCCCTGTCACCCCAGCTGGAGTGCAGTGGCATGATCTCAGCTCACTGCAACCTCTGCCTCCTGGGCTCAGGCAGTCCCCTCACCTCAGTCTCCCAAGTAGCTGGGACTACGGCGCGTACCACCATGCCTGACTAATTTTTGTATTTTTGGTAGAGGCAGAGTTTCACCATGTTGCCCAGGCTGGTCTTGAACTCCTGAGCTCAAGTGATTCACTTGCCTTGGCCTCCCAAAGTGCTGGGATTACAGGCATGAGTCGCTGTGCCTGGCCCTGTTTTCTTTTTAAGAAGATGATAGAAGTAGAATACTGAAGGACTGTGTCAGACGGAAGGCCTGGAGGATGGAGAGGAATAAATTCCAAACGCCATGGCAAGAAGTGATAAAGGGAGGCGAAAAATAGCTGTATTTAAGAGATTTACTGGGGCAAGAGGAGTAGACCAGAGATGAGTGGGAGATTGCCAACCTGGGATTTGGAGATGATGCCATTAGCTAAAATCAGGAGAGAAAGATAAAAGGTGGAGGCTGGGCATGGTGGCTCATTACTGTAATCCCAGCACTTTGGGAGGCTACAGTGGGACATCACTTGAGGCCAAGAATTTGAGACCAGCCTGAGCAACATGGTGAGAAAAAAAAATCAGAAAAGATGAAATGAACTTAGGTGGTGGGATGGGAGAAGGAGAACTTGGTTTTGCTTTAGATTTGAGGAAATCCAGGCGGAAATGTTGATGTGGGGGTAGACTAGGTTACATGGGAAGAGAACCAAGGACAGGGCCTTGGGGTCTCAAGAATTAAGGATGCAGGCAGGGTGCAGTTGCTCATGCTTATAATCTTAGCACTTTGGGAGGCTGAGGCAGGTGGATCACTTGAGGCCAGGAGTTTGAGATCATCCTAGCCAACATGGTGAAACCCTGTCTCTATCAAAAATACAAAAATTGGCCAGACATGGTGATGTGTGCTTGTAATCCCAGCTACTTGGGTGGCTGAGGCAGGAGAACCCCTTGAACTCAGAGGCGGAGGTTGCAGTGAGCTGAGATTACACCACTGCACTCCAGCCTGGGCAACAGAATAAGGCTCTGTCTTAAAAAAAAAAAAAGAAAAAGAAAAAATTAATGATGCAGGGAGAGGAGGAGGACTCAGAGAAAATTCTTAAGGAGAAAAAATTGGGCCCCATAGATGAGAATAGTGATTCTTAAATGAGGGCTTGTGAGACACCTATTGTTGACCCCCACTCCTAGAGTTTGACTTGGGTGGGACCCCAGAATTTTCTAACGGATTCGCAGGTGCTGTTGCTGCTAGCCCAAGAACCCACTGGGTTAGGACATCGGTTAGAAGAAATGGTGACCCTGGGAAAGCTGACAAGGTTTGAAACTCCAGCCCTGGTGACAGGTGGGGTCGAAAAGGAGCCAATACTTGGGCGTTGAGTGCTCAGCTCAGGTTAAAAAACACAAGTTTATAGCAGGGTCAATGTGGACAAGGAAGTACATTAAACAGCAAGAGCAGGCTCTTCAGGAGTAGAAAGGATTAGATTCTTTAAGGCCGCGGAGCTGGCCAGAGGCTGGAGCAGAAGGTGAGGAGTTGGGGAATGAGCATACTGATGAGTAAGTTGCAGAGGTTGAACATGATCTTTACCTCATCTTTCCCATCCCATCTGCTCTGATCATGTTGCCAGACTCTGTGAGGGAGCGCTACCTTTTATTTTGTTGCCTGATCCCCAAATCTGAGTCATTCCACCTCCATGTACCTCTCCTTCTACCATCCATCCATTAACCAACTCCTCTAGCTCCCAAATACTTTTCCATGTCTATCTACTTGTCTCCATGCTTGTAGCTTCTCACCTGATTACAGGACTGAGCCGCCAAGCCTGGCCGATCAGTCTGCCATTATCCTTCACCTGGTTACTGCAAGGGCCTCACAGCTCATCTCCTTTCTGCAAGCCTTGCTCACTCCTCCTTCCACCAATTCATTGTCCTCAACGTGGCCAAGGAGCTGTTTCTAAGATGCCAATATAAGCACTCCGTGTTCCTGCTTAACATTGTCCGGCAGCTATCCCCATTTACTCTGAAAAGAAACATCTTTTTCTTTTGAAGGGATATTTTATGTTATTCCTCCTTATCACGCCAGTGTCATCTTACCTGTCCCTCTGTAATACCTGTCCCTCCCTCCGTCTTTGCTCCCTTCACACTGAATTCCTAAACCTTTGATATATTTTCACCTTCAGGCCTTCCAGCATAGTCTTCCTTCTACCTGGAATGTCCCCCAACATCTGGCCTTGGTAACTCCTACTTACCCTCCAGCCTTATCATAGAAGTCACTTCTGGGATGTCCTCCCTTCTCTCCCAAATCTGGATTCTATGCTCCCTTACATTAGTGAGGTTGGGGAGGTTGAACGTGATCTTGAACTTCTTGAACTCATTTTTCCCATCCCATGTGCTCTGCTCACGTTGCCTGACTCAGTGGAAGGGTGCTAGCTCCTTCCCAGTAGAAGGAAACGTTACCTGCTATTCCGTCTGCTTCGCCTGTTAGTACGCTCTGTTAGGGCAGACGCGGTCACGTACTATTCTTTCTGTATCTCAGCACCTGCATGGGACCTGGACCTTATCAGATGTATCATAGAGTTTTGTTCATTCCCTGCAAGAGGATTAGAGATACAAACTCTGAGGCCCAATATGCTGAGATTTAAATGCATTCTCTAGCCTTGCGTTTTACCCTGTGTAAGAACGTCATGCCTGTAGTCATGGATGGAATCTGACCTGGGAAAGAATGATTCACACAGTCCTGCTATGAACGTTGATTTTATTAGATGAGTCTGCTTTCATAAATCCAAGTAAATTAGGTTACCAAAATGATTACCTCAAATAAAATGGCTCTTAACATATCTCCCTTCCTTCACACCACCCACGTTGGGAAGCACTGTTGACTGGAAGTACTCAACTAAATATCCCCTTGACAAAGCCTTGTGACATTTGCTTCTTTTTAAGAAAAAAAAATTTTTTTAATTGTACTTTAGGTTCTAGACCATGCAGGATTGTTGCATAGGTACACACATGGCAATGTTACCTACATCCCCCTGTTATCTACATCTGGCATTTCTCCCCATGTTATCCCTCCCCAACCTCCCCACCCCACCCCACTGTCCCTCCTTTGGTCCCCTCAACAGACCCTAGTGTGTTATGCTCCCCTCCCCATGTCCATGTGTTCTCATTGTTCAACACCTGCCGATGAGTGAGAACATGTGGTGATGGTTCTCTGTTCTTGTGTCAGTTTGCTGAGAATTATGGTTTCCAGATTCATCTATATCCCTACAAAGGACACAAACTCATCATTTTTTATGGCTGCATAGTATTCCATGGTGTATATGTGCCACATTTTCCTTGTCCAGTCTATCAGTGATGGGCATTTGGGTTGGTTCCAGGTCTTTGCCACTGTAAATAACTGTAATAACAAAATTACCCAGAAGCCAAGGGCCTGAGCTCTGTCACTCTCCTGAGTGTTTGTAGCTAAGAAAAACTCAAGAAAGAAAGCTGACTTTTTTCAAGGTTTTAATTTAAAATACATTGTTCGTGCAAAACTCTTGGTAGTTCTTACAAAATATCCCTTCCACGTTCCCCTCAGACTATGACAATGGATGCTTTGAGTTCTCCGTGGGGCTTTTAGCACAGCATTCAGGTGACTAGTTAGCCATACCTTGGAGCCCTCAAGACAGTCCCTTGAAGAAAAGGGGCAGGTTCGCTGTAGCTGGAGTCCGAAGCCTCTCACAGGGCCTGGGACAGCTGTGTGCAGCCTGCATAGAACTCTAGTTCATGCTCTTCTGTCACAGAATCTAATCTCTGCCTATAGGGGTGTCTTAAAGCTGAGAATGTGTTTCCATCACCAGGAAAGTGCCCTCCCCATCCACCAGGGATCACTGAGCCAGAGCAAGTCATTCTGAAGCCAACTTCGGCTGGAACATGGGTTTCTTAGGCAGTGGGTTGCTTTGGTTACCAGTTCCCTGGTCCCTTCTTTTATCTTCTGTGGGGCCGGTGATGGCTGGCATTTTTAGCTCCTAGAGGGAAGCATTTTCATTTCTCTTTGATGTCTCCATCTGGTGATCATGGGACTTCTTTATAGGCCACGATGCTGTAAGAATTTACCGTAGAGAGTTAAAAGAAAAATGCTGGAC